TTCTCTCTCTCTCTCTCTCTCAAAAAAATAAAAAATAAAAAAAATAAAACACTGGTCTTTTAAAATAATAAACTAGAAGTGGTGGTGGATGGGTGGAGTTAGAAAACTCTTAAGTAATGTGTTAAAATTTGAGGGTCTGTGTTGACATTGATATGATGGCCAGTGATAATTTGAATCATTTAAGTATCATTTGTCTAAAATAAAATGGTGTGTTAGTCACTTAAGTTGTAGTTGTATGAGACAGTTTTTTTCTCTTTCCTAAGAATAGAATTTAAGAAGTCAGTTCCCAGGAAAGAAGACCTTTAGTTGTATTACAGTTTCTAGTTTGAAAGTTTTCAATTATTTATTGGTTGAGGGATTATTTCAGAACACATATATTTACACTTCAAATTAATCCATATATTAATAATAAAAATCAAAACCTCATGATTGCTTTAAATGAGATGGATTAGTGTGCTTAGTTTAGTTTGTAGAGAACAATAATAAACTTACGTGATTTTTTTTTTCTTGACTGTACCAGTATAGTGTTGGAGGCTATTTTAAACAAAACTATAATCTAATGAAATCCTTTTTACTTATAACCTGATTAGAGATGTTATTTTAAGTGGCCAAGAGTGTGTGGAAATTGGCCAGACTTCTGTATATTTTCTTCAGAATACTTTGAAACCTCTTTCACTATTTCATAATATTTATAGATTGTGCAATTCAGGTTTAGTAATAACTATAGATATCTAGTCAGATGTCTTGGAGAACAAAACAGGATTACCAGGAAACTTAAATGTTCATGGCATGGGGTACAAGTACAATGTTAATAATATTGGAAAACAAAAAAAGATTAGGTAGAAGGTTATGGGGGAAAAAACTGGTGTTCATCTCTCAAACTCAGGATACTTAAAATCAGATTCTCAAATAAATATACTCTAATATGTTCAGCACATTTCATTTGACTTTCCTTAATGATCACTTCTAATGTGGTCTTTTAAAGTTTTCCTTAACTCAGAAATCTGCTTATTAATTTTTTTTCTGTGTTTCCAGCTACAGTGGTTACAAAGCAAGAATACTTTTATTTGGTTTTTGATTGAATGCGTTAGGGCTTGGGTCTTTTGCCCTGCTAGTAATACTTGTTAGGGGCCAGCTGATGGGCTGTGTAGGAATCCTTTTGGGACACATTCCTAAGCCTCCTTGGTATTACAGATGTTTACTTTTGGAAAGTTACAGTCTCTGTGGTGATTGGCTTTTTTCATATTACAATGGATACTTCGATCTCCTGAAATCTGGGTCTCTGCAATGGATGATAGTGCTTACTGATTATCTGCTTAAATAAAATAGAGGAGTTAGGTTTTGTCTTTCTGTTCCCACCCCCCAAAGCTATGAGGAGGCAGTCCTGTATCTATTTCACTGTTTTATGGATGGACCATATAAATTTTTACTTTAAGGTTTGTGACCTCAGAAGAATGGCTAGAAATATGATAGGCTGTGTCCTTAGTTCCAGTCTCATGTCCTTGGTTCCAGTATTCCACATGCTCAGTCTAGGGAATGCTGAACAACACTGAACAGCATAGAAGATTCAGTGGGAAGCAGCAGAGGTCTTTGAAAGTGAGGTTAACTTAACCAAAGATAGGAGGTAGGGTAGGATGGGTTAGTTTAGAGGGTTGAGGCAACAGATGTAGGAAGATAAGGTGTGGGAAGCCTTAAACAAAGGGCAAGAGCTAAAGGGTGGATAAGATAGATCTTTGTTTTTCTCTCTTTAGAAGAAGTGTTCCTTTGAACCTACTAGGCATATAACACTCAATCCTGCAGTCTATCTCTAAGACAGAGGTAGAGGACAGTTTCTATAAAACATTTATCATCTGGTTAAAGTAAACCTGGACAGAAACATTGTCAGGGCTTAGGGGAAAAGTGTTCTATTACAAATGAAAACAAAATGTTTTATTATATTAAGAATAGATTTTTCAGTTTAAATATACTTGAGAAAAAAACATTTAAAAAATGCTTTGATGAAAAGGCTGCTGTGCACATGAAGAGAGATGGCCCCTCTTCTTGTGGTTAAAGAGCCCTAATTTTAAATTAATGCATTAGACTTACAAACTCTGAGTTGATTTACAGACTCTGAGTTGAGCTGGTTATTATCATGGGCAGACAGTCCCATCCTTTGAAAGTTCATTTTGTGATAAGTGGTAAGTTGGTGGAGGTAGCCCTAATTCCCATATTATAGATTAGTATATAACTTTTTAAATTCAAGTACCTTGTACACCAGAGGTATTCGGAGTCTGAATTATTTTTTGGATGTAATTTTGTTTAAAGACTGAAACAAAGATTGCAGTTGTGTTTTCTTTGCTCCAACTTTATGATGTCAATTGGAGCAATAGTAGATTACAGTTCATTTCACTTTTTTTTTTTTCTAACTGACCTCTGATTCTCTCTGGCAAAGCGATGATTTTGAGAGAGATTTGCTTAAGAAAGTTGATGAGATTGAGTTTTAAGTAATTTCCTTTTGGTGCTAGATCATATTGTTACAGTCAGAGACCTAATGACTGGTCAAAGACAAAGGAGCTTCAGCTCCGTGATAGTTTACTTAAAAAAAAACAACAAACAAACAAACAAAAAAAACACTAAAGGTCATGATCTTTAAAATTTTAATTGTTTATTAAACAGTTTTTCAATAACTGAAAAATTGTTGAATGAATTGAAAAATTAATTGCTGACGCCTTGAATCTTTTTCCTAGATAATTTGTAAATAGGTTTATAAATAGACTAATTAATGTTTTTTATTGTGTTTATACATTGAGGATAAATATAGGTAACATTTGCAAGGGATACTTAGAAGTCTTAGCATCTTTTTATTTTATTGCACAAGGATTGAAACTGACAGCAGAGAACATTAGAGTAGAGCCTTATTATAATACAGGCTGTTATATTTCTTCAGACCTTTTCTGTACATACTATTGCCATAATACAACTGCTTGGCTATAAAAGCCTGAACAAGTACATCTACTTATAGTGTTGTCCTTTGATCCAGTGTGTGTGCGCGTGTGTGTGTGTGTTACGTAAAGTAAGGTGATCAGAACCTAATATCTGCACTTTTTTGTTGTTATTCTATTTTCTTTAACATAAATGCCCTATCTGTATGCTATTTATGTTAAAGAACCTGTGGTACTTCAAGTACTCACTGCCTGTAGAAATGAACCCCATCTGCCTTTCTTTTCACTTCTGTTATTTCTTATGACAGAGGCTCACAATTCTCAAGCCCTTACATGATCATCAGCTAGTTAGTGTGTTTGGCACTGGGGCTGTATGGATGACTCTGAAGATTGACTTATCCTTCAGTGTGGTAGGCAAATATGTAAATAAATAACCATAGCACTAGTAACCATCTCTGTATCAAGGGCTAAACCTCTGCCCTTGGCATCAGAGTCAGGGACGGTATCTCAAAACAGGTGAGTCATTCTGGGTAGAGGGAAGAGCTGGGCAAAGAGACATGCAGTAGTATGAAGCTTTGGGAGTGATGAGGTACCGAAAAAATATGATTGTCAAGGATCCTTTGTGCTGACTTAAGGAATGTGGACCTTGTCCTGTGCATAATGGACAACTCCCCAGACAGTTTAAGGACAGAAATCATCTGAGGAAAAAAAGGACTTTGGAGTCGCTCAGAATTGACCTAGAAGTCTCTATTTGTGTCATTTACTAGCTGTATACCTTTGGACCAAGTGTTTTCACATCTGTGAGGGGGAGAATTCACACTGGGAATACCCTGGATTGTAAGTGACTTAATCATTCAACAAGCACTACTTATTGAGTACCTATTGTGTATAATATCCAGAGAATGACTACAGAGAAAGGAAATGATGTAGGATGAACCTACAAAGCTTAGAAAAAGCTGGGTGCTAGATCAACCTTTCCAAAATTTAACACATTTCTCACACCTATTCTTATTCATGTTGTTCTCTATCATTATAGTGGCACCCTGAGAAGACTGGGGATCCTTATTACACCTTTATATCCAGCTAATCACCAAATCCATTGTGTTTTGCTTTTAAACATTCCTTGGCCAAGTGTTCTTGTCTCTAACACTGTTGCCAAGAGGGGGTTCAGGCTCTTAATCTCTCATCTCTCTAGTTATTGATCACTTTTCCTCTTCTATTTAACATTTCTTTCACCAGAAAGTTCTTATTTTTCCACCACATACCCAGCCCTTGTCAACAGTCAGATAGATGATTACTGAAGCTCTACCTTGTCTCAGATTATTCCAATAAGCTTTTGGTCTGCTGCTGCCAGGCCAGGAGTTGAAGGCTCACTCTATCCTGGCAAAGTGTGTAAGTTCTAGCCGCTCTACATCTTTCTTTACCTGTTGCCTCAGATCTTCTTCTTTGTTTTCTTTCTTTGGCTGTGTTCTGAAAGATGCCTGGGTTGTTTTTTCAACTACTATTAACTGAAACCCAAAGCTCTTGTTTTTCTGTTAATAGTTATCTAGTTTACCCTAGGCAGATTGTACACAGGCACCTCTTTGCATTTGTATTGAGGGTATGTTACTACTCTTTCTCATGAGATTTGAATCTCTTTCTTTTTAACTTTGATTTTTAATAAGGGTTCTCTTCTCTGAACCCCAATGGTAATTACCATCACAGCATTTGCTGTGAACCTGCCATTCAAGAAACCTACTTAGTCTTTAAATGTTTTATCAAGAGGCTGTCTTGGATTAGAGGGAATGCTTTTTTGTTTTTTCTTGTTCTGCCCCATTTAGCCTCAACTGTATTATTTGGAATCTGTCCTTGAAGATAGACTTTGATATCTACTTGTAGACATACACACAGGCTGAAGTTGCATATCTGCTTCCCAATATTTTCTACAATGCTTTATACCTATTAGATGACTTGTGTCACTTGTAGCTCACTATCACAGAGATATAGGATTCCACTGCTGCTTTTCTTCTGGGTGTGTAATAGTTGAGAGTTGAGAAGACCATAAACTCACCTACTTGCATTTTGTTTTTGGTGCTCTAGGTCAGGATGGCTAACGGGTTGGCTCCCCACCTGGTGCCCTACATCTACATCACACCTTAAAGAAGCTGAAGAGAAAATGTTAAAATGTAAGGTTTTCTTCTTGAAAGTTCAGAACTATTTACTAAAATTGATCCAATATATTGTATTGCCTAAAACTGGAGATAAGATTCTATGGTGTGTTAACTATTAACAAAAGAACTTTTTCCCTCTTCTATGTCATCAGCAAGTGCCAAAATATGGTGGGCCAGTGATTCTCAACTTTAAACTCTTTTTATTGTATTTTTATTTTCTTTTATTTGTTGCTCAAGACAATACAATGATCTTGACATATCATTGTATTCAAATAGGGTATGAATTCTCATTTTTTCACAAGTACAGATTGCAGGATCACATTGGTTATATATCCATGTGTATACATACAGCAATCCCAGTGTCAGTTGTATTCTGCTGCCCTCCCTATCTCCCCCTCCCCTCCCCTCCCATCACCTCTCTCTACCCATTCTACTGTGACACTTATCTCTCTCTCTTTTTTTTTCCCTTCCCCCTCACACTATGGTGTATGTATTTTGTGTAACAATGAGGGTCTCCTTCCATCTTCCATGCAATTCCCCTTCTCCCTCCCATTCCCTCCCACCTCTCTTCCTTGTTTAGTGGTATTCTTCTTCTCATGCTCTTCCTCCCTACTCTATTTTGAGTCACCTCCTTAAGTTTGTAAGGACCCCAAAGAGCTTTGTTTATAGGTTATTGTTACCAATATTTACCATATTAGAAATTGAAATTGAATAGTTGAAAATGTTAATGCATTAATTTATTTGAAAATAATAATAATAAATCTGTTGCAAGTTAAAATAAGTTACAAAAAAATTAGCTACTCTCCACAAACAAAAATGTAATGAAGAAATTAACATCGTTTATATGTTTGCAAGTCTCTTTTCTATCTGGCTTAACATAAGGCATCTGGATTCTAATATCTGCTTCTACATTCAGTCTCTTGGGTAACAATTATCATGAAATCTCTAGAAAACTATATTCTCAGAAAATGAGAATGAAACAGCAAATGAAAATTTACTATTATTGCAAAAACAGTTTTGACTTACTCAGAGGATCTTAAAGACCCTTCAGATGTTCCCAACTATATACTTCAAGAACAGATTCTAAGGCTGGGGTTGTGGCTCAGTAGTAGAGTGCTCACCTCACTCGTGTGAGACCCTGGGTTGGATCCTCAGCACCACATAAAAAATAAATAAACAAAGATATTGTGTCCATGTATAACAAAAAAAGAAGAAGAAGAAGAACAGATTAGATATTACAGAGCATAGTATAATAAAACAAGTACTAGATTAGAATAACATAGCCCACATCAGCCACCGCTGGCTACAGGATCTTGGGCCACTTTACTAATCTTCCTATTTCTTACCTTATGGTAGGATTATCCATAGAGTACTTACAGCTCTAGAATTCTAGGATGCTTTAGTTATATGTTTATACTGGTGTGGAAACCTTTTTTTTGTTTGTTTGTTTGTTTGTTTGTTTGTTTCTTATGAGCACTGAAATTTTGTCCAAACTTCTACTGTTAGGGCATTCCCAGGTGGGTATAGTTTTAAGCAGTGGTATTTATTGTCCAGTTTTTTTCTGGTGATGCAATTTAGGAGAATGGATTAACAGTGTGAATCATACATGATTATTTTGTACATATGTGTAGATGTTTGTTCACACCTATTTTTTTGTCCTGTTTACCGTTAATGAATTTTCTTGATGTGTATTTGGGGATTCAGTGCCTAATTTGGGTCACCTAGGAAGCCATCTTACATGAATTTTTAACATAAAAATTAATTTCTACTTTATATACTTAGATAATCTTGCTTTCTACAAAACTGGGAAAGTAGTCATTATGGCTTACAAAAATAAGGAATTGTTGTAAGGAGATTAAACAGGGTGCTGGACATTCAATAATTCATTTAACAAACATTGATTCCCTATTCCTGGGACTAGGGGTGCAAATAGGAATGAGAATTGGTCCTTGCTCCAATATCAGACATGAAAGCAAGCAACTAATACAGTGAGATAAGCTCTCTACTGGACATTACAGATAATTTCTATGGGAATACTCGGGCAACTGTGTTCAAAATGATGAAGTGATTCAGCTCTATACTAATGCCAGATCACCTCCTTTTCTAAATTAGTGGCACCCCCCCCCCCATTAGGGGCATGGTAGCTGGGAATATTCTGAATGAATGCTAGATTTCTTCTTTGCCACCATTATGTGAATACAAAACCTGTGATTATTTCTTTGATGATTAAAGAGTGGAAACTCCTGGTTCTCCTTGTTTTGTCTACTACAGACAAATATGCATAAATAATTAAGGGATATAAAGTGCAGTTATTCAGTTGATATTTTAATGTAAATGAATCTCAGATTTAGTTTCATCTATAGTTCATTTTAAAGAGTGTTCATAGTCTTTAGTCTTGTGGTATTGAACAAAAGTAAGAGTTTTGTTCTATGAAATCATGATTATTTACACTTTCTGGACAGTGCTAGACTTGAACTCATGTTGCCTGATGCCTTATGCTAAGGAGTTCCTACCATACATACCCTCTCACCTTTTTTTCTACTAAGCATTGAGATGACTTAATATTTCAGTTAAGTGTTTAATATGGATATCTTTTTTTTTTTTTTAACAGTATTGGGTATTGAACTTGAGGTACTCTACCACTGAGCTGCATCCCAACCCTTTTTGGTTTTTTATATGTGACAGAGTCTCACTAAATTTCCTAGGCTGACCTCGAACTTTGAAACTCAACCTCTTAGAGTAGCTGGGATTACAGGTGTGCACCACCCTCCCAGCTAATATGGACTTCTGAAATCCTTGTCTAAATTCATGAATCTTTTCATTATTCCTTCAAACTTGACTTCAACATTCAGTGCTTAATTCTGCAAATCTTCTACAAATTCAAGGTAGAATTCTTTTGTTATTGTCTGCTAATCAAGCATTCTAAAAATAATGGGCTCAGTGACCATCAAGTTCTTTGCATGTAATACTAAGTCGAGAGGTAATATGATTTGCCAAAGACTGACCATGGATGCTTGAGGTTTGTCTGATAATTTAAAATTACTTGTTTCAATAAAATAATCTCTTATTATTTTTTAGGGCTAAATCAGTAAAGGCTAAAATCATATGATTAGATACCACATGGTTTCTAGATTACTAATTTTTTTATGCTTTGAGTATATCCTTCTTAAAAAGAGATGAAACTAAACAAAATTTCTCTTATGTTTTCATTAGGTGTCCCCTGCACTTACAAAAAGGAACCTGTTCGTATATCTAATGGAAATAGAATATGGACACTGAAGTTCTCTCACAGTATTTCAAATAAGACTCCACTTGTTCTCCTCCATGGTTTTGGTGGAGGTCTTGGACTCTGGGCACTGAATTTTGGTGATCTTTGCACCGATAGGCCAGTCTATGCTTTTGACCTATTGGGCTTTGGACGGAGTAGTAGACCCAGATTTGACAGTGATGCAGAAGAAGTGGAGAACCAGTTTGTGGATTCTATTGAAGAGTGGAGATGTGCCCTAGGATTGGACAAAATGATCCTGCTTGGACATAACCTGGGTGGGTTCTTGGCTGCTGCTTACTCACTGAAGTACCCATCAAGGTAAGTGATGGTGACAGAAGAGAGGGATCATCACCTTGGCTTCTAAGTGCTGGTCTCTGGTTTCCATGTTTGGTGATTATTGTTGTCTGAGACTTACAAGATGAACATTCTCTTGAAGGACTAGTATAGTAGCTGAAATAATGATGTCAGATTTTCCTATTACATAAGCTATACATTGGTAAGTTTGATAAAGGACTCTATAGTTGTTATTTAGAAATGTATAAAATTTAATGTATGATTTTAAGCCACAAGTCAAAATTATTGTGATATTATTATTTATTATTATTATCATCATTAAACCTGTGGATCTAGCAGGCTTTTCCTAACCATTTCTAAGTTGGAATGGGTATCACAAGGTTAGAAGTTGAAGATCTAGGAACTGTGCTATCTTTGTGGCTTGGAGCAAATCATGTAACCTCTAAACTTTACTTTCCTTCATAGTGTATTTTGCATGGTTTTTGATAAATTCCCTGACCTTTCTCATTTATAGAACTGTATTTCAGTCATTGAATTAATGAATGTTTGCTTCAGAACCTTTCTAGCATTATTTCCTTTCTTTACCTTAGATTTTTATGCTATTTCCTATTCATGTTGCTACTCTGAGAGGAGGTTACATTTGAATATAAGAAAATCAAAGAAAAACATCATTGTTTTGCTTATCTTTTGGAAAGAAACAAAAAAATAAATATCAGCATTTTTGTATTGCCAAGGTATTTTTCCATTTAATCTAATCTTTAAATCCAGAATTGCAACAGACTTTGACTTTGAGGTCTGTGAGTGAAACATGGGATGATGGTCATTTTCCCAGTGCCTGTATACACCTGTATATGAGGCCACCCCATTGTATAACTCCAGAGTGTGTAGTTCTACACAGCATTTGGCATGTGGGGCAGCAGCCCTGTATGCCAAGGTTTTCTTCCTCTTGGCAGAGACACTGTTTCTCCACAGATGCATTAGCTAAACTTCAGCAGTAATACCTGGTAGAGAGATTACAGTTCTGTATATGCTAGATAGAAATAGACTTGTCAACTGGCAGTTCTGTTCTTTCAAAAGAAATCCAAATGTTCTCCTAATTAGCATTTTGGGCTTATTCTCTTTTGGTATTCTTTCTTAGTGATAAACATGTAGCTATGTTTTTGGAAAAGGAGGAGAAGGAAGTGGATAGTTTCCTAGTGTAAGACAGCAGAGCTTTTTGTGGGACTTGGCCTTTCTTTGTTTTTTTCTTTATCAGGTGTTTATTATGTCTGTTGTGGTATTTGTATCTCAGGAGGTGACATGGGATTCTATTGGTTAGATGCTGGTCATTAATTCTTAGAATTTTGGCCCTTCATAGTTACCTACTGATTATTAGATCAGTTGTTAAGATTTTCATTTTCAATTATGAAATGCTCTAAAGAAATAGGGAGACTGCAGAGATCCAGAACAGAGTGAACACTTAAAAACTGTCAATAAAAAAGAACAGCAACAAGTATCTAAATCAGAGCCAGTGATGTACTTAATGCTAGAAATAAAACTTGAGTACTATCTGAGGAACAAGAACCACTAAGTAGTAGGAATAGATGGATGTGAGAATGCTTAGAATAATTAGCATGTCTTAAATTCCTATGGTTGCCACCAAAATGTTATTCTCAATTAGAGTGTGTTGGACCTTGCAGGCTATATCCTTAACTGCATAAAACTTAAATTATTAAACACAAGTTAGTTTCAAAATGATGACATTCTCTATCCCAATTATGTGGGATATACTACAAGTATATGTGTTCAAGTTAACCTGGAAGTGAGGTTTAGCATTTGGTGTTCCTTCAATTTGACTCCACTACTGAGCACACAGTTGACAGCTTCTCTAGCACACACATAATAGCTCTGCTGCTATCAAGCAGTTGACTTTGTATCAACAAAGCAAATGCAGAACCAATTACTCTAAATGTCTCATCCTACTTTTTCTTGGTCCAGGTGACATTTTTATTATGCTGTCATGAGATTAAAATGAATTTTTGAATTGAGTTTCAGAAAGATTTGGGGATTTGGGGGAGAGGAAAGGGAAAGAGGGGGGTTTGGAGATCAGTGGAATTCAGATAATTTCTTTTGTTCACTGCACCTCTTATCTCTCTCTCTCTCTCTCTCTCTCTCTCTCTCTCTCTCTCTCTGCTTTAATTCTTTTTCTTTAAAAAGAAAATGTCTAAAGAGTTAGCTGAGCTCCATTCATATTACAAATTTGTTTTGCTGGTGCAATAGCAAATGCCTATAATCCCAGCAACTTGGAAGGCTGAGGCAGGAGGATTGCTAGTTCGAGGTCAGCCTCAGCAGTTTAGCAAGGCCCTAAGCAACTTAGTGAGACCCTGTCTCAAAATCAGAAATAAAAAGGAATGCATATGTGACTCAGTAATTAAGAATCTCTGGGTTCAATCCTCAGTACCCCTCAAAAAACATTTTACATCACATCTTTTTATTTATTTATTTTTTAAATGTTCATATCAAATTTAAGATTTTTTTATATATTTATTTTTTACTTATAGTTGGACACAATGCCTTTATTTTATTTATTTTTATGTGGTGCTGAGGATTGAACCCAGGGCCTTGCACATGCTAGTCGAGCCCTCTACCACTTAGCCACGACCCCAGCCCACATCTGTCTTTTTATAATAAATGATATTAATCATATCTAATTAAGGGAATACCTCTCTCTGCTTCATCATGTCTTTCATTGGTTCATCCATCAGGCATATGCCCATTATTTTGCTATGTGCTAGAGTGAGCAGAAAGAAACAAAGCCCAGAATCTCGATGCGTATAAAGTTTACACTATGTTGGGAAAGCAATGCACATTAAACGTTCATATAGTAGTATAACAGCTGTGATGAGTGCTGTGTAGGGAGGTGGGCAGTGTTGAGAACCTGACGTGATCATGAGGTGCAGTAATAGTTCCCTGTAGAAGTACTGCCTGAGCTGAAGTCTCAAAGGAGTGGTAAGAGAGAGAGAGTATTCTAGGCAATGGGACAAATTCCAGAGGCCCTGTGCTAGGCAGACATCTGGACTATTCCAGAAAGGCCAGTGTGACTTGTAATCAGAAAAGTTATGAGCTGCTTAGGAAGTGATTTCAGATGAGTACACACACCCAAGCTTCTCCCTACAAACAATCTTAGTTCATTTGTCTTGCTACAATGTCTAATAACTAGAGATGCCATCTACAAGTTCATTAGTAGATTAATGTGCTGAGTCACAAACAGTAGGGCCACTCACTGTATGAGGTGTCTTGGGCTGCCATCTGTAAAACCTTCTTTATAAGGTAAAGTAAGCCAGCAGTGGTAGCCAAAGATAACCATCACTTTTCTTTGAACTGTGTGCTCAGTTTTTCCTTTTCCCTTCCTTTCTACCCTTGCTGCTCAGGACCTTATACAAAGACTGTTGATGTTTTATAGGTATTGGTTATAACCTAGGGAAAAGGAGATTCTGGAAACTTTTAACTTAGAAAATGTTTAGTAGAGATCCAGTCTGAAGTTAAAATAAGTAGGTTATAACCATTCTTCACTAATAAAAGGTTTTCAGATAATTTTATCTTGAATATTTTCCCATTGACCTTGCCTGGCTCTGTCTCCTGATTATGCAGACCTGGGCAGAGCAATTCTTGCTGGGTCCTCTTGAGAAGAAAAGCTGTTCCACTCGACCTGGAGTTGAAGGAATTTAGGTCGTTCTCTGCAGGCCTTCCCTGTCCCCCTACCCGCAGTGGACTGCAGCCCATGGGGATATGTAACTTCTCTGAGAATGCCTTGTTTGTGCACTGACTTAAGTTCTTTCAGATCTTTTCCCTTGTTCCTTTCCTTGTTCCATAAATCGATTTGGGGACTGATTGTTTTTGCTGCATTATGTCTAATTGGTGGTTGAATTTCATGAAGGTCAGATTTATATACCCTTGTTAGCATTTAGACAAAATCAAATCTTATCCCAGTGTTTTGGTGCAGGTGTTATCCACAGCTTTTTCATTAAAGCTGTAACTTGCTCATCATCTTCAAACTCAAGACAAAATTCTAATGACTAATATTGAGATGAATGCCTTTCTGTGTTTCAAAACAGATGGGTTGTTCTCTTTTTCCTGCTCTACTGGTTCATTGTTTTTTCCTGTAGTTTAATTCGGTTTCTAGTTCTTGATCAAGATTTCTTGATAAGATGACTCACATATGCTGTGTTGTTAGACCCATTCCTGATCCTAAATGTGAACTAAGAATCCCATCAGGGTGTCCTTTATAGAATATTCGATAGTAGGATGTGGGTAATTGTCATAGTTTAGGTATGCATTAAAACGAAGTGAGGAGGTAATCTTTAAGGGTGCAGGAGAAGATAGCCTGGGAACTTGGTTCAGTATCTAATAAGCTGTGAGCCAAAACCTGTGATTAGGCTTTCTGGAATGATGAGGTTAAATGACATTTTGCTCACCAGACTGGCCACTATCTTCTGGTGTCCCTTGGAATAAATTCTACTATAGAAATTTTCCCTTTTTTTTTTTTTTGCTACCGTAACTAGCTTACATTTACTTATTTAAAAATCTTACAACAAAAAATAAACAAGAATCATTTTATGAGGTCTTTTACCTTTAGTCAAAGCAGATGATAGTTATGTAAATATAGTTTAGATTTAGTTGTAGAGTTTTTAAAAATTATTTTTAAACATTTTGACCACAATCCTCAGTTACAAATTTTGTGTGTTTGTGTGTGTGTATGTGTTTGTGTGTGTGTGTGTAAAACAAAAGTTTTGTGGGACAATACTTATGTTTGTTATATTTTTCTATTCCAGATATTATGGTTTTATTAAAAAACACACCAGACTGGCTCTTTACCCTCAAAGTGGATTTCATTAACCATGAATAAGTAATGGCCTGTGAGATTAATAAAACAAATATCACCAGTAATATTCTAATATCGTCTGGGGAGCCAGACCAACTCTTAGGCTTACTCTATAATTATACTTTATAAGATGTGTATATTGTTATAGATACAGAGCAAAAGAAAATGTGGGAAAGCATAATAATCCACATTTACTGAGTATCTGCCATGTGCTAAAGCACCATGCTAGGTTCTGAAGACACAGAATTGAACAATTCTTGGGCTAATTTACTCCTTTATAAAAGCAAGAAGAGGTTATTTGCCTAGTATACGTGTGCTTTGCATAATTTATTAAATGACATTTTTACTTAGGGGTGATATTTTGAAGATTATATTAAGCAAGAGAAGCAAAAAGTAAAGCAAAAACAGAACTAGAGGAAGATGAGACTTCCCTTCTTCTCTCCTCCCACTTCTTGGGTCAATAGGTCAGAAAGAGTCTAGAAAAGACTGGATAGAATCCCTTAACAAATTTGTAACAAAAACTTAATCTTTTAGGATAGGGTATGTTTTAATAAAGAGTTCATTTTTCTTTTTAGCAGATAATTCAATGATGAATAATATTGGCTATTTCCCAACTTGAGTCCTTGCTGCTTACAGCTAAATGGCTGATTGTCAATTCCTCTTGCCCCTTACCTAAACCCTGTCCCAAAATATAAAATTAGAAGAATTGGGGATATAGCTCAATGACAGAGCACCACTGGATTCAGTCCCCAGTACAACAAACAAATAAAATCTTTTAAACTGTAAAAGCACACCAGATATATGGAACTCTTATGTCACGTATCTCTACACAGATTCATAATTATATTCCATAAATCTTCTCAATTCTTTGAAATCTAGGGTCCCCTATTAGAGCTGGCCTAGAGGAGAGAAAGCCTGAACAGTAACTTGTTGTCATCTGTTAGTATGCTAGAGTGGGAAAATGTGGGTTTTAGCCCCAGTTCTACCTTAACTAGCTTTGTATTCAAGGGCAGGTCGTGAAGATATGTCTCAGCTTCCTTCCCATCTGTGATTGAACCAAGTATTCCCCAAGGACCCATGGAGCTCTGTGCTGAGTCTGTGTTCTAAAGCTTTCCATTTTAAAAAATGCAATCAAAGTAAAAAACTAACTGATCCTTACATGTGCTGACAAAAATAATAAAAGATTTGATATAAGGAATAATGCTCTCTGTGGACGTTTTAATTTCTTTCTGTTTCAGTTATGATTTTAGAATCATTGTCAGTTCATCCTCTGGAGATTTTGGTGGGCATTTGGATGTTTGGGTGACAGTTGAACATTGTATTGCATCAGAAAACCTTTGTGCTTGGTTTAGAATCTTTATGATATATAAAAGCATGACAGCCACATGAAAGTACTCTGGTAGTTCTGGTTTTTCTTCATTATGAACAAATTTAATAATGGAAAAATTAAAGCTATTAATGAGATATTTTTATATGAAATTAATGTATCTGTTGAGTAAAAAAGAAATTTGGGAAAGGATTAGAAACAGAATGTAATGCCAGTATGTCATGATGTCACAAGTAGGGTAGATAGATTGTTCCTTTTCACAAGATTCCAGATGTCCAAACTAAAGGACACATTTTTTCTTCATGTTACATCATTCTTACATTTGTGAGAAAGTTCACTTAAACTTCTTTTGAACCCACTTTGACTTTTCTTAAAATTGTTAGAATGATTGATTCACGGGAGATTATTGTTGGTATCTGAGGCTATTTTTTTAAAGCACGATACTGATCTTTAGTCATTTCTCCAGTGTCAACCCCAAGATATATGGAATCATTCGATTTTTCTGAGTGGTTATTGATCTGTTTCATCTGCCAGAGTGTAGCCTAGACAAGTGACCTCTTTTCTCAAATAATACAGTTTTGTGCTCTGCTTTTACACATCTTTTATTATTGACTTAAATATTTTAAAATTAAGTCCTTTCTCTACCATATATCTCTCAAATTCTACTGAGTCTCAAGAGTTTATGTGTAATAACCAGTTTAGCAATCCGTTTTCTCTTTAACATGAACATTTTTGAAAGTGGTCTATCTTTATTGTATACATTGTTAGTTCTTTGAGGTTTAGGGTAGATATATCAAATGAATTTGTCTGTTCTTTCCTCAACAGGGTTAGTCATCTCATTTTAGTGGAGCCTTGGGGTTTTCCTGAGCGACCAGACCTTGCTGATCAAGACAGACCAATTCCAGTTTGGATCAGAGCCCTGGGAGCAGCATTGACCCCCTTTAACCCTTTAGCTGGCCTCAGGATTGCAGGACCCTTTGGTGAGTGCTCATATTCTAGGAAAGCAGAAGGTTTATAGATTAGCAATTTAAGAGGCAGATGCTCCCTGCTTGTAGTGGGGGTGGCAGAGATGATATAGAGTATCAACTGCACCATAAAATTGTTGGTGGAGTAGGGTAATTCCTTTGGAGATAGGAAGGAAGGAAGGAAGGAATTGTCACTAAAGAAACAAAACCTTGCCAGAATAGTGGGTGTTGGTACAGAGAGAGAAACTAGCCGGGGGCTAGGCCCCAGAATGAAAGGTTGTGGTTAGAAGAGGCATCTGCTCTTCAGCCTTTATCCCTGGGGCCTTACCTCTGCTTCACTCCTCAAGAGGAGTGTGGCATCAGGAATGACCTCAGCAGGGAGTGTTACAGTGTTCCAAACAGAAATTCTTGAGTTTATTTTCCCACAGAAATATTTGTGTATCCCACTTCACTTGGTGCAAATGCTGGTGTGTTGTAATCCTGAAGGGGGATACAAGTTAGTATGTTAATTTTATATACTAACTGCTCTGTTCATTGGTCATGTTTAAAGAATTCATTTTCCTACAAAAATAAGTCCTAGAAAACTAACATATGTGTTTTTGAGCTCCTAAAGTGCATCTGTAAGTCAATATACAGCACTCTTTAATTCTTATTTTAAACTTCCCTTAGGGAAATTGAGAACAACTGCCAGGAAATGTGCTTTTTCCCACCTAAAATATGTATTTGAACACATGTAGATGTGTATACACATAACACTTATTATATGAGCAAGCATTAAAACTTTGTATATTATTTAGTTATAAGTTATAACTTAAAAATATACATGTTTTTATTTCTTATTAAATAGGTTTAAGCCTAGTTCAGCGGTTAAGGCCTGATTTCAAACGGAAGTATTCTTCAATGTTTGAAGATGACACTGTGACAGAATACATCTACCACTGTAATGTACAGACTCCAAGGTAAGGTTAAATTCTAAATTTACTTGTGTATGCATCAAACTTTTTTGTTTTTGAAGTTTTCCTTTTAAATTTATTTAAATAAATTTAAAAGGAAAAATGTCTAATACTTCTTAATTACTCATGTATTAATAGAGTGCCCACTATATAAAACATTGTTCTGAGTTCTGATGGGGGATTAAAAAAATAAGATGTACTTTCTTTCCCTAAAGTGCTTTTTTGCATAAGTTGAAGAAGCCTTGATCTTAGAAATCCTCCATTTTAGGAGGTGGTTGGGCTGGGAATTAAGAAAGCTAAAAAAAATATTTCCCAAATAGTATAAATGTTCCACCAGAAAAAGGAGTGCTGTTTAAACAAAAGTAAATGGATCTTCTTAGAAACTTTACTATACCTGAGGGTATTGAACTTCCCGAGTTCATGGGAAATGCTATGTAGGAGTTTTCAAGTTCACTTGATGATTGCACCCTTTACTGAGGAACTCTTAACATCTGCACATCAGCATGAGAAACAAGGCTGCAGTTGGTAAGGACTGAGTGAGGGTTGGGTGGAGGGGAGGAGGGATTCTGCCTGTATATTGATAGTGATGAGAGAAAATATACAAGTGTGTGCATAGTAGCAAGAGAAAACAGGGGGCCAAACATCTTTTTTATAACATATGACTTATGGATGGATGTTGGGTGCAGGGTTCCAGTGGAGAAAGTAATCTAAAGATAGTGGAGAGGTAGGAAGACAAAGCTCTAGAGTTTCTAGAATGGAGTACAAAGAGAAGAATACAATTCTTGTACTTTGTGGTATACCAATTATTGGGGGAGCCTATTTTTAAGATTGATTGAGCAATTCTGGGCTACATCTTGAACAGATACCTCAGGCAGTTTCTAGTATAGGTTGGTCATGAACCACACTTTCACAGACATGCTACCTCATTTTTTTTTCCCTAAAACTAAGAACTGGACAGAAGGCTGAGAGGCTAGATGTAGAAACATCCTCCTTCCTTTTTTATCCTCTCTCACTTTCGGAAGAAAATATGTCCACCTGCTTCATTGAACAGAGTGAGGCCTTGGCAGCTATTGGTAGTTGTAGTCTCAGTCTTTTCAATAAAGAAGATTAGAATTTCTCTGCCAAGAGTGAGGGAGACTGGAGGTTTGGAATCCTCAAGAGAGTTTTTGTGACTCACTAGGCTGTCAGGTCTGGTGATTAAAGTCTATACATTTTATTGACTTGTTACAGCAGTTTTTAGGGGGCTGTTCAGGAACATTGATTGGTTTTCCTATGTGGGCTTGGGGTTTTACGCTATACTCCTTCTCATTTCATGATTACATGTGCCTGTGTAGTCCTCAATTGTTGTCTTTCATATGATGTAACTTGGTTTGTAAAAGGTAATTCAGAACAATGCTGAGTCCTTTAAGAATGACAGAAATGACCAGGCGTGGTGGTGCATGCCTATAATCCCAGCAACACAGGAGGCTGAGGTAGGATTGTGAGTTTAAAGTCAACCTCAGCAACTTAGCAAGGCCCTAAGCAACTCAGCAAGACCCTATCTCTAAATAAAATATAAAAAAGGGCTGGGGATGTGGCTTGGTGGTTAAGCACCTCTGAGTTCAATCCTTGATTTAAAAAAGAATGACAGAAATGGACCTATCATGGGAGTTAGCAAGAATATGTTCTTTATTTAACTGTGATATTTCTGATATTTTTATTAAATGCTGGAGAAGCTAAATGTGGATGTGCTTTGATAGAGGTGAGACTGAGAAGCATATTCATCTCTAAAAGTTAAGCAATGTGGTTTTTTTCTTTCCCCTTAAAGTGGTGAAACAGCTTTCAAGAATATGACTATTCCCTATGGATGGGCAAAAAGGCCAATGCTTCAGCGAATTGGTAAAATGCACCCTGACATTCCAGTTTCAGTGATCTTTGGCGCCCGATCCTGCATAGATGGCAATTCTGGCACCAGCATCCAATCATTACGACCACATTCGTATGTGAAGACGATAGTAAGTGTGTGGCTTGGTTTTTAGTTTTCAGTTGTAGGTGAAATCTCTGATGTTCTCCCTTAAATAAGATTTTGGGTCATAATGATTTCACAAGCAAACTGTACCTGCAGCCTCAATCAGAGACCTGATCTCAAATGTGAGATCTTCTTGTCCCAACAGTGAATTACCTTTCTTGAGGGGCTTTCTGGTCTCTATAGAGAGACTAAAAGAAACACTGGTCCAGTAGCATCTCTGCTTACTCGCACCCTCAAGACAGAACATTCTCCTTTTGTTCCGTTTCTCTGTTGGCTCATTCACTAGTGGTCATTTAGAGTGGGGTTTTGGGTTTTTTTTTTTTCTGGGGGGAGGGTGGATATTAAAATTTTATTAAGATTAAATAGATTTTTCTATTTACTTTTAAATCTTTTGGATGGCAATACTTGTTAGTTAACCATAGCTCAGTTTTGCTTATTCTTTTACCTTATTTTTTTTTTTAATGTAGTGAGTCTCACTTTTATTTTTAAGCTTCCTTGCTTAAATATCACTGTGTTTTAATAAATGCTTGTGCACACTGACCATGACTGCTTTTCTTTCCCCAGGCTATTCTTGGGGCAGGGCATTATGTATATGCAGATCAACCAGAAGAGTTCAACCAGAAAGTAAAGGAGATCTGCAGCTTGGTGGACTGAACACACTGAAGCCTTTGTAAGAACACCTGTTGACTGATAGAATTCTTGAGCAATAATCTACAGTACGATGAAGATTGAGGAATGCAACCCAAGAACCAGGCAGTCTCCTTGACTGCATCTTGCACATTTTTTAAAGCCATTTGCACATTTAAACCCGTTAGTGCCTTCTAGAAGAATGAGTTTCCTTTCTCCTACACAAAATTGAAATATACAAGAGACTCAAAATTTAATGGCTTTAAATAAAAGGTTATTTATCCCTCTGTACTGAAAATCTGTAATTTTTCAATTAAGATTTTTTTCATTTTTACCTAACTTTGCTGGTCAAGTACTTTTAATATTGCAGTCTATTTTACAAATTTAAAGAAGTGGTTTCTGGGTCTGTTATGTTATATACTATAAAAGTGCACTTGATTTTCTTTGTCTGATTGTATTTACCACATCTAATAACTGATATAATTAATTCAAATTCAATTTATTTTTTATGTAAAAATTTGTCAGTTGTTTAGACTACTTCACCTGATTTTTAAATGGTGTGACAAGTGCTGGATATGTAGCTCAGTGGTAGAGAGCTTGCCTAATATACAGGAGGCCCTGGGTTCAAACCCTAGCACAGAAAAATAATTATAATAATGATATTCTGAAGATTAAATGGAGTGACAAAATAGGTTTTTAGTTAAAAGTATGGGATTTAATCACTAGCATTAATTTTTTGGTTTTCCTCTGTTTTATATTTAAAGCTGCAAACCCCATGTTCGGCATTTTAAATGTGATACAAACTGCAACAGCATCACTCCTGGGAACCTTCTATGTATGACACTGTTCTGTACTTTTAAGGAAGAATGACATTAATGCTTAAGGGATTCAAATACTGAATCTCTTAACCAAAAATCCAGCCCTTTCTCCTCCCATTAATGTTATTCTTTTCCTGGAACCAGGCTGCAGCAACTAGGACAGATTTCCTCACTTCAGGGGAGTTTAGAATTGTTACCTTCCAGTAAGCCATGTCGTACGTATCATATTTTCATGAACATCTCCTCTTTAGATGGGTGCTAAAACTGGATTGCATTTTTACCACTAAAATTAAAAAATGGGTGCTGTTATTGTCTCATGGCACCAGAAGTGAGCTCACACTTGGGTTTGGTTTTTATTGAGTATTGTGTTGATTAAATCATTGCAGACTTGCATTTATATTGTGAAAAATCTATAACATTGATTATACTATTTGACAGTAACTATCATCAAGTGTGGCACTGTCTTGCAGTTTTAAAATGAGTTTTAAAACTTTGAAACTGTGAGAAAGCTCCATGTGCTAACTGGCTGCTGAGAAAATCCTCAACAAAATAAAATTGAGTATAATTGTCACCAATAAGGCATCTTTGCCTTATGTTTTGCTAACATTGTTGTCTAGGAGAAAGGCAGGCTATGTAAATAGACAGTGAACTAGAACAAATAATGGTTTGGGTTATTGTATTTTTTAGATGGTTAATTAGGGAGTTTGTAGTCATTAGGAAATGTAAGATTGTATGCTGTTGATAAACTGCCAGAGGAACTGAAAATTATGTTTTCAATATTATTTCCCCTGTAAAAGAACTACACAGAAGATGGAAACAACTTTCCAATGAACCATTTGTCTCACTCATCAGATTAACTAGGTTAGTTCAATATGACAACATGAAAGCTAGGGTGAGTTTCTCTACCTTAAGAACAAAAATAGCTTCACTATTTAGTCAGTGTCTCAGATAGACAAATTAAAACCTGACAGTAGTACAAATAACTTGAGTAATATGCCAGTTTCTCTCATAGAAGGTTTTTGTCCAGGGAATTTGGTCCCACAACTTGAAGGAAAATTCCTTGGTTCACTTACTAAGTGGGGTTTCTGGCTATAGATGTGCCAAGTGATTCAGGAAAGATATACCCAAGTATCTGGTGAAGTTTACTACTGATTGAACTTTCTTCATTTGAAAACCTTGGGGTACAGTATATCTAATTCTGTAAAGATTGTACTAGCAGAGAAGGTCACAAACTGGAATTCTTTAAAATACTGTGGGTGCTAAATGTTTTCTTTTTAAAAAATCTTTTTCAATGTTTGATCTTTGCTAAGTTATGCACATTGTATTTTATTTTATAGAATAAATTTTACTATGATAGTTGCAATAAGACAGCTGTATATTTCCTTGAGTGTTTATCATGGGCCATTCCTTGACCTTTGATCCAGTGAGCGTTCTGTAAATGCTGTTATCCTGAGGGAACGCTACTCTAGTGTGCAACTGTCATGGCTGATATATGTGGTTTTTCACATGTTCCCATGTTTTCTAAAGATAATTTCTGTTTTTTTTTTCTTTCTTCCCCTTGGTTTCCTAAAACTAATTAAAAAAAAAAAAAAACTTACCTAGGCTTGGTTTCAGAATATTAGAGAACATTTTTGAAATATGTTCATATATTTTTTTAAAATATATTTAAAGGGCCACACCAGAACAGGAAGTTTTTGTCCTGTACCATGCTATTGGAAAAGAAGAAACAGAATAACCAGAAGAACTCTAGAAAAGCATAATGGATATTAGATATTATTTTATAAACAAAGTCTAAGAATTTAGTATTGGATAAAGGTAGCATCTCAATTGTGGAGGAAAACACTTAAAAATGGTGTTGAGGCAAGTGTGGCTAACCATGTAGGAAAAAAATTAAATGCATTTCTTTATTGTACACAAGAATAAAATCTGGATGGATCAATGACCCTATTGCAAGAATGAAAACCTCTGGCCAAAATAAGCAAATTCAAGATAAAAAATGAAGGTATTTGTAACATTCATCACAAAAAACTCCAGTTAAGGAATTTTTATACTTTGGAAAGAAGCTGAAAGAATAAGCAAAAGCTACAAATAGACAATAGGCAGAAAATAAAGTGCTGCAGATGACCTTTAAATATATGAAGATATACATCATAAGAGAAGTGCCAATCAAAACTACCAAGACACTATTTCTTGTCAGATTGGGGAAAACCAAGTTAGGTGATACATTCTATTGTGAGATGGAGAAAACAAGTACTCTGAAAAGTATAAATCCCTGTGGGTAGAATTTTTTTAATGATTAATAATTAAATATGAATTTATCCTTCAATCTAAAGGCAATTCTAAAACTCCACATGAACTTCTTCACTGGTAAGAATATGAAACACTATTGATAATAGCTGAGGACTGGAAGCCACCCACATCCCCATTGAGAGGGGAGTGATGGAAGCATCATGGTATGTCCATACAGGGGAATACGGTACATCTGTGAAAACTGGATTCCCAGAACACAGGAAATGAAAAACAGACTAGGACATGGTGTGCTACCTGTTACATAAGAAAGGAGTGATAACTGGGGAAGAAAAAAAAAGCAAATGTATTTTTTGCTCCTATCAATAGAAGTTTTAGGTACACCAATAATTAATCAGACAGTTCCCTTGGTAGTCCTGGAAGGGAGATAACAAGGATGACAACTAGAGCTGTGTATCTTTTAGATTCTGTCAATGTTTTATGTTCCTTTTTTTAAAAAAAAATGTTAAAGCAACTCTTTAAAACATGTAACTATCAAGTTGGTAGTATAGCCACATGTAGACAAATATGTCAAGTGACTTTAAATCCCAGCATTTTGCCTATATTCCTATGAAGTATATCCTACACACCAAAGAACCACAAAGAAATCTTAAATTTCATTCAGTACTTTTATAGCAACAATATTGTTGTTCCCCATACTGTGTGTGAGAGTATATACGATAAAGCAACTGTTTACTATGTCAGTGGAATCAAGAGCCTGAAGAGAACAAATGCAAGAATACAATCAATACAATACAAAAAACAATACAAGAAACCTGTAGTTTTATATTTGAATTGAAATGCAAGTAAAATCTGTAATTTCTTTTTTGAAAAACAAGCAAATGTCCACTGAAAAAAAGTCTGGAAGCAATTCCAACCCAATAGGAAGGTGTACCCTAGCACTTAAAGTAACCCACTAAAAGAAGGGAGAAGATGAGAAGTGACAGAAACTAAGGAAGCAGAATAAATAAAATCGCATCAGAAGGACCCAGTGGCTAACATGATAGTGCTCACCTTTGAAAGCAAGTAGGGTACCCACTCAATGTTTAAAAAATTGCTAATTGGAAAAAACCAAGTATTCTGACTTTTTTGTGTATCCAGTTTAACCTGCTAAGAAAAGTTCTTCATGTAAGAATCCTAACTAAGCTGGACATTTTGGTGTATGCCTGTAGTCCCAGCTACTCAGGAGGCTGAGATGGGAGGATCACTTGAGCCTATAAACCAATCTGAGCAACATAGCATGACCCTGTCTCAGAAAGAACAAAAGAATCATCATTAAGTACCAGAGGAATGATAGGATTAGGAAGACATCATTTTTCCACCTCTAATGAAATAATGGATCTAGGCGGTTAACAGTATTAGATGAAAAGTTGAGGGTGGGGGGCATTTTATTGCATGGCTCTGTTTGGTAACATTTGAACCCGGGGATGAATCTTAACATCACTAAAAGAGGAACAAGCAGACATCAGATGTCCTGCTTTGTTGTGCCACCAAGAACCTAACACCAGCCAGGAAAAATTATTGCCCCAAACAAATTTGCACACAAATCTAGTTAAGCCTGTATGTCTAGCCAGTTTGTAAAAACACCAGAGATTTAGGAATGCATTAAACAACATGCTAACTCCAGAAGGTGGAAAATTCCACAGAATAAATAATCCAGTTTCTTCAGAAAATTGAAGGTATAAAATAAAAGTGATGATGGAATTCTAAGATCAGAGAAACTTTTTAAAGGACCTTGTTTGTATCCTCATTTGAATGAGACAAAATGACATTTTTGAAACAAAAGTTTAAGATGGACTAGGTATCAGATGATATTGAGGAATTATTAATTTTGTTAGGTGAAATAATGGTATGGTGGCTTTGTTAAAAAGCCTTTACCTCTCTGAGAGACATACTAAAGTATATGTAGTTGAAATTATGACTGGGATTTACCTGAAAATAACCCAGACCGGAAATGCTCTGGGCAGGAAATAGATAAAATGAGCAGAGTGTTCTGCTGATGCCGGGGATAGACACACAGGGGCTTGTGTGTCTACTTTGATGCATGTTAAAGAATTTCCATTGCTGAGGCGATGGCACAACACCTGTAATCCCTGCATCTTGAGACTCTGAGGCAAGAGGCTCCCGAGTTCAAAGCCGGCCTCAGCAACTTAGGCCCTAAGCAACTCAGTGAGGCCCTGTCTCTAAATAAAATATAAAAAGGGCTGGGGATGTGGCTCATTGGTTAAGTGCCCCTGGGTTCAATCCATGGTACCCCAAAGAAAAAAAAATTTCCATAATATGAATTTACAGAATGAAAGAGAATGGGAAGAGAGATTGAAGAATGCCAGTATGAACGGTGGGAACTAGATGGAGGGGGGAGCTTTATAACTAACTATCTCAGCAGTAGCAGAAAGAGGGGGAAGTGATAGGGCAGAAGAGCAGACTGCAGTGCTGTATTAACAAGGATCAGGGCAAAAGGAGCCCCCATTTCCTGTTGACGGGAATGGAGTCATTTAGCATATGTAACAAAGTTGTTTGTGGTCCCCACCACTTAACACAGCAATTTTGTTTCCAAGATTCTATCCCAGGAATATATCAGCATGGACTTGAAAAAAAAATATATTCATCTTGCAACATTGTAATATTAAAAGTCTGGAACAAGATGTGATTGATTAAATTATGGTTCATTCATTCAGTGAAATATTATGCAGCCTTACAAACAAGGTAAGATCTGTAAGTGGCTATCTGGAAAGTTTCCAAAATCTCTAATAAAAATAAACTAAAATCCAGAATATTTAATATACAGACACATAAATATGTACATACATACAGAATATGTGTCTGAAGTTTCATGAAGATACACATATGCTCATATATATGTATAGGCTTTTGGGGGAGGATGAGTTTGTTAACGGTTAGTATTGGAGAGGGACAATTCTGTTGTAAATGCTTTTGTAAACTTTGGAGACTTGTGCATTTGCTATGTTTTAATAAAAACCAACTAAAATAGAAAAAAGAAATCCTAGTTAGTATAAAATATGAAAGAAAATAACTGAAGGATCTTACTGACTGTGCTGCCATCTGTGGGCAGATATGCAGATCCAGATTAGGCAGAGGGACAAAGGTTCAATGTATGGAAGGCTGTACGGCTCAGTGATTTCATTACTGAAAAGTGAGCTATGAAGTTATGACTGGTCTGATCCTGCTCTCCCTAACTCCAGAAACAGTCTCAGCACAAATCCACCTTCTTCATTCACCCTTATTTTCTTAAAATTATTGAAAGAGGCACCAGAATTAGAACATTTCTAATAGTATTTCTATAGTATTTCTCTAAGTTTCTACAATATACTCTCTCTTTTATCTGTCTCCATTTCATATGACCACCATATCACTCCTGATATTTTCTCTTAAAGTTCCCCCTAAATTTTTCTTTCATTGTAACATTAAGTTACAACTGGCTAGAATTTATTTGCTGATTTCCTGGTTATATCTTAGCTTTATACTCAATTAGATTAGCTCCCAGATTTAAAATTTGGGGAGGGGGTATTGGAGGGGGCACTCAGAGAGGCTTTACCACTGAGCTACATCCCCAGCCCTTTTATTTATTTATTTATTTTTGTTTATTTATTTATTTATTGAAACTGGGAATTGATCTCAGGGGCACTTAACCACTGAGGCACATCCCCAGCCCTTTTTATTTTGAGATTGGGTCTTGTTAAGTTGCTTAGGACCTCACTAAGTTGCTGAGGCTGGCTTTGAACTTATGATCCTCCTGCCTCAACCTCCTGAGTCACTGGGATTATAGGCATGTGCCACCACGCATGGCTTATTTTTTTATTTTAAGACAGGGTCTCACTAAATTACTTAGGTCCTCACTAAATTGCTGAGGCTGGCTTTGAATTTGGGATCCTTCTGCCTCTGCCTTCTAAGCACGGGGATTACAGTCATATATATATATATATATATATATATATATATATATATATATATATATATATATATATATATATATATATATATACTACCACACCCAGCTAAAATTTAAAGACATTTTTACCAGTGAGTTTGTAAATGACATGGGTAAGGAATTTTATTCCA